GCCATCCCCCCTGGGGGGTGATTTCTCACTTTCTGTCTGTCTCTGTCTTCCTGGCGAGCACACATGCCCTATAGCAAAAACCTCTCAAGAAAGAACGAAAGAGAGAGAGTGAAAAAGTTAAGCTTCCGAAGGGACAGGGAGAACCTTCAGGCTTGCTGGCATCTGTGGGGCCCAGCAGGATAGAGCACAGTGTACTATCCTGGTACCTGGTTATGGGTGGGTGCGGTTGGTGGAGCCGCGAGAGCGGGAGCCCCTTGCCTGAGCCGTGTGGGATCTGGGGCTGGTTAAGGCGGTCAGTCTTCAGTCAGATGTTGCTATGGCTGTGCCCATGGCCTTGGGCAGTTCGGGGCCCTCCTGCCTCAGTTTCCTAGTGGGGATAAAGGGGCAGCAGACCAGGCACTCCCCAAGTGCACTCCGGTGGCACTGGCTCCAGGACCGTCCTGTGGCGGCCACTGTCAGAGATCAGTTTGTGGTGAGCAGTAGGCTTGGTGGCCGCCGCGACAAGCTCCACCCACCATGGAGGTGGCAGCCGGAGCTATTTTGGGAGCTGCGCTTGCGGTGGGGGAGTTTCCTTTGGCGGTGTCTGGGGACCAGAGTCTTGGGAAGGGGAAGTCCCATGCCGATGGGGCCCCTCTCTTCCTCCACCGCCCGGGCGCAGAGAGGCCGCCAGATCCCCTGGTCACCCGGCACGCACGTCCGTTCGTAACCCTGGGCTGAGCAGACCTCGCGACACTTGGAACCACCTAGAAAGGTACAGGCTTTGCCTGCTCCCTGCGGCAGGGACCATGCGCCCTTCCCTGCCATCTGAAGCTGGCAGCTTGGGCCTCAGGGTGTGCCCAGCAGGTGACAAGGAGCCAGGTCGGGAGACCCCTAGTTGGCTGCACCTCGGCCACCTGTGCTCACTTGACCACCAGCCCGGTGGGGGCTTCCAGGGAGGCCAGCACTATGAGCCTGGCAGGACCTTTGCCTCCGCCCTGGGGAGGAGGGTGGCTGCCAACTGCAGGTTTCACTCTGAGTAATCCCCGGGCTTCAGATCGCCTGAAATCGCAAGGGAAGCAGAGAAAGCACTGTGCCTCTCCAGGCTGGGTTTCTGCTGCCCCTTCCCGCAGGAAGGAGAGAGCGCCAGGGAGGCCTGGGGCTCAAGTGCTGCCAGGTAAGGACTGCTGGTGAGGTTGTGGGTACTCTCCAGACCTGTAAGCCCCCAGGGGCCTCCCTGCTGTGTTTCCTGCGGGATAGCAGGGGGCAGCCATGGGCCAAGACAGGATCTGGAGTAGGGGGACCCCTACGCTGGAATCCACCCCTTTCTTTAAGCCCCAGGCTCTGCACAGCGACTCCCAGAATGAGCTGGCTTGGAGGGGTGCAGGCACCTCTGTCCTGGCCTCTGGTGCTTCTACTCCGGGTCACCAGTCACTTACCCTGCCCTCCTCCTGCTGCCCGCTGAGGCTGTGGAGGCGAGTGGTTGGTTCTCTGCTGTCGAGGAAATCTCCATGTTGAAAGAGAGGAAGGTACATGATTACACAGCACGGGGACCAGGGCTGTGGAGCCAGGTGGCTGACTGCTGGAGTCCAGGAAGGCTGCTTGGAGGAGGTGCCTTGAGTTGGGAACTAAAGGAGAGGAGGGGTTTACTAGGAGGCAGTTCATTCCAGAACCGAGGACAGAGCAAGTTCATTTCTCAGAGGGCACAGATATTGGGTGGTGGACCTGCGAGAGGGGCTGAGGCTTCCAGCAGGGGAGGTCCCGGCTCCCTCTGGCAGTTGTGATCTCCAAGGGTTGGCCTAGGCATATGATGTTAAAGCCCGACCTGGGGAGTCTTACCGCGGTCAGGTGACTTGCCGTCCACGCACTATATGGGCTTGAAAGCCATTTAACTTCTGAACATCGGCGTCCTCGTCTGTAAGATGGGGGCACTGCAGATGCCATGTCCGGGTGGGCTGTGACACTGCGTGGGGCACCCGGACAGAGAAAGTGCTCGGCAGATCTGAGGTTTTCCTCCGGGGGCCTGGAACCAGTCCCAGCCCCGACCAGGTCAGAGCCAAGGGCCCTCCGGGACAAAAACCAAGCGCCTCGTTGCTCCTTTAGCTGAGAGGCAAGGTGTTTACCACTCCGACTTCCAGAACCGGGTTTTATTATCCACGAAGGAGGAAGTGAAAGGTGATCAGGAACCTCCTCAAAAAAATTGTTTTAAGGAGAGATTTTTTTCTATGGAGCACTTGTGCTGGCAGGAGAGAGATAGACAAAGAAAAATCACCCCCCAGGGGGGATGGCCATGCCACAGTCCCTCTCCTCCAGTCTCCTCTTGGACTGGCACGCACACACGCATACATGCTTGGCGCGTGTTTGAAGCCACTGGGTCTGGGACTCAAACCACTGCCGACCATGTGGGAGTCCAATGACATAACCATTATGCCATCTGCTGGTCCCTTCTCAAATTAAACAAAGGCCTTGAGAAACCTTGCAGGGTGCGGTTTGTTCTGAACCACCTGGTGACTTCTGTCTGGTCTGAGACCACAGTGATTCTGAGCACGAAGGCAGAGGTCTCTTGGGGTTCCAGGAGGCAAGAGGAGCCGCCTCTGCCTACTAGTAAGTGCATTTGACCAGCACCCACTGGGTTCCCAGCGTGTGCCAGGCCCTGGTAAGGCCCCAGAGGTTTAGAGAGCAGCCTCCACTCTTTCTTGTTTTTTGTTTTTTTGGAGAGATTTTCGCTACAGGGCGTGTGCGCTCGCCAGACATACAGAGAGAGACAGAGAGACAGAAAGCGAGAAATCACCCCCCCAGGGGAGATGGCCATGCCACAATCCCTTTTCCTCCATTCTCCTCTCAGGATCTTGGGCACGCATGCACACGCGCCCGGCATGAGTTTTAAGCCACCGGGTTCGGGACGCAAACCGCGGTCGACTACATGGGAGTCCAGCGACATAGCCATCACGCTAACTGCTGGTCCCTCTTGTTTTTGGTTTTTAAGAAATATTTGCCTTAGGAGACATGTGCTTGCTAGTGAGAGAGAGAGAGGGAAAGTGAGAAGTCACACACACACACACACACACACACACACACACACACCGGAGATGGCCATGCTGCAATCCCTTCTCCTTTATTCTCCTCCTGGGATCTTGCGCATGCATGCACACATGCCCAGTGTGATTCTCAAGTCACCGGATCCAGGATTCAATCACAGTCAACTATGTGAGAGTCCAGCAACATAACCCTCCTGCCCCCCAGCCTCCACTCTCAAAGGCCAACGCAGGAGGCTGACACTTGACAAAGGACACAGTTTGTGTCCCAAAGAGCTCAACTTTAGGGAGAGACCTATGTGGACGCCACAAGATGGGGAGAGGAGGCAGGGCCTGGGCACCACTCGGTCGCCCACAGTGCACTCAGGTGCTCTTGGCCACCCGGGGAGGCCTGGCCATTCCTTCCTGCCATGGCTGAGGACATCCAGGCTCTGAGAAGAGCAGGGCTTTCCCAGATCCCACCAGAAGTGCCAAGCCCAAGTGGGGCCTAGGGCCTGGCCCCGAGGGACGAGTGGGACTTCACCCATGGAGAGGTCACAGGTGGGTCTTCCGGGTGAGGCTGGTGCATCTCTGCGGAGGGGAGGCTCTTTAGTGTGGCTGTGCTTGGGGGCCCAGGGCCATTAGGGAAGGGGCAGGCTGGTGCCAGCGGGCGGAGCTTGGAATGCCTGCCCAGGCCGGTGGGCCGTGCTGTGGTGCTCCAGGAGGGCCAGGAGGGCCGCACGGGCTCAGACTTGTATGTGGCCACCGGAGGGCCAGCTGGAGGAAGCATGGAGGCTGGGAAAGCAGGCCAGAGGTGGCTGCAGTGGGCCGAGGCCTGCAAGTGCACTCTGCGGGGAGTGGAGACGGATTGGAGGAAGTGGCAGGGCTGGATAAAGACCAGGTGTGGGTCGTGAAGACAAGCCTGGTTCCTGC